GGTATTTATACATCATCCTGTAGTATGATACACATCAAATATAACTTTGTGTACGTTAACACTTCATTGTAATTACAGCAAGAAAGAAAAGTGTGCTTGGCATGAACAAATCCATGTTAGTCTCATTTCATTTTGAGTGCATCTATTCAAATTGATCAGTTAAATGTAATATGTATTACCTTCCTTAACTGAAACGAGATACAACAGTACATCTGGATTTTGTTGTGCAATAATATTAGCGATCATGGCTCCGAAACTGGCCTCGTTATCCCCTACAATCTGCTGGTAATTTTCCTCAAATGTTACGGTTATATTGGTGACGATCGTTGTGTTGTCGTTGAGTAGGGCAAACTGCTTTTCATTAACTACCTGGACCTGGACATTGTCATTAATACCATACTCTTCTGGGGAAGAAGTTACATGAAATGTCAAAAAGTATAAGCCAATCTGATCGAATGTCAATGAATCAAACACAGCTTCACCAGTGTCGGGATCAAATATCGCATGGAGAGACCCTGACATGTTCCCCGTAGTATCCGACACATTCACGAGACTGACTGTTGCTGTCCAATTATGGCCCTGGAATAAAGTACAAATAACATGTAATCAGGACAAATTAGTCTACATTCCTTATGAATACAGGACGTTGACACAATTGCATACTGATACTTTTTTCGATGGATTTGAATATTTAAATTGCTGTATTATGTATTTGTATACTTTTAATAAAAAAAAACATTTTTAGCTCACCTGCCCGAAGGGCATCTTAATTTTGTATAAACGGTGGGTGTGGCCCCCCTGGGGGCAAAGGAGCGGAGTCCAACAGGGAAAATAGTGGTAAAATCTTTTAAATCCTTCTACTACCATAGGGATTAAGGGATTTAATCCAAATTTAGCTTGGGAGCATCATTGGGCCAAGGGGACTTTATTTTGTATAAACCATGGGTGTGGCTCCCCTTGGGTCAGAGGGTCGGGCCGAATAGGGGAAATAGAGGTAAAACCTTTAAAATCCTTATTTTACCGTAGGGATAATTTTTTTCCCCTAATTTAGCCTGGCTCATCCTTGGGCCAATGGGACTCAATTTTGTATAAACCGTGGGTGTGGCCCCCTGGGGGCAGAGCCTTAGAGGGGAAATAGAGTTAAAACCTTTAAAATCCTTTTTAGGGATTTTATCCAAATTTGGTATGGAGCATCCTTGGGCAAAAGAGACTCAATTTTGTATAAACAGTTAGTGTGGCCCCCTCTGGGGGCAGAAGGACAGGATATATTATGGTTACCAAATCACTGAATATTTACCCTCCATGCTATGTCGCTGATTCGATGTCGTGTGGTGTTGTCTATCAACGTAATCCTCATTTCGGTAGCTTTGTTCATAACTAAGGGTTCTGTAGATATATTATTACTCAAAGCGACCTCTAACTTCGCAACAGAAAAGGTTTCTGATTGAGTAGATAAATGTTTTTCGTTAATTGGGTAAGTCTTATTAAAGTGAAGACAGAAGTCATTCCCGTAATGGGATACGGTAAGGTCGGTGAAATTCGCCCATCCTCCAACCACATCTACGGTTGTAGTACCATGTAGTGTGGCAGATAGGTTAGCGCCGGATATCAGATATGCAGTCATATGCCAAGGGTCGCCAATACTGCCCAACTTTGTCATGGGTTGATCCTGTAACAGAAGATGTGTATACATAAAGCCTGTTTTAATGCAGTAACTTATGATCGTTTATCTTAATGATAATTCCCCATATATAACAGTATCATTACTGACGATAGTAAATCGTTATTTAAAGTCCCTGCAGGTGGGGCGTAAGAAATGTACCTGCTGCCCCATCTGCATGGTCGTAAGGAACTAAATTTGGGATCTTATCTTTTCTCTTTTTTTAAACAACTTCTTTCTAACGTCTCCCTTGACAATGCTTCACTTTTGGCTATTAGTTGAGCGCTCGCCCCTGTGAGGAAGGCTTTGGGTTCTGTCCCCTGGCCGATACATACTAGAGATTGTACAAATTGTAGTTTCTGCTCCTGCTTAACACTCAGCAATTTTTGGAGTGGGACGACTGGTTCGCCCGTTGTCTGTATAATGTGACCGGTGGGGTGTCCTGTTGGGTGTTTTCGGCAGTGTGTTTCAGTGAGGTAGCACTATAATATCGGCATCAGTTCCGCGCTATCACAATGTGACAAACACGAAAATATCGCAGCCTCCCAAAACACACACGCATACACTATACGCATGCATCTTTCACACAGGGGAAACCGTCCTTAAATGACTATAGCTGTTTATAGGACGTTAAACAATGCTAAAATACCGACGCCACTTTTGTTGTGACGGAAGCGCTCGAATTTCCCGGATATTATGGTTATTTCAAGGTTCTATATATAGAATTTGATGTTCACTCGATTTCACGGAAACCGGTGAACATAATGCAATTATGGATTCCATGTGAGGACTTTTCTCTGATTTAGGAACCTGTCAGGTCCGTAAATCAGGGATAGACCGAAACTGTCCACAATTGTTTTATTGTATGACAATTTTACAATGATATTAATCATTTCTCATGTCATAAACACATGGATGGCATGGACTATTTTATAATCACAGATTGAAGAACTTTGAATACAAAATGATATATACAATTTCAGATTCAATTCATGTGATATTTAATTTCAAGTAAATATTGTTTGCACAATCGACATCATCCATGACATAGATGAGAATTTGATGAAAAAGTTAATTTGTAGTTGAATTTAGTAGTGTGATTTGTAACATATTCACGGTCTGTAACACTTTTCTATTTATAGAACGAGGTTAATAACAGATGATTTGATTGTCTGTTAATTAATTGCTGGGAAATTACCTATGCCTATATTTAGTAACGGTCTATAACACTTTTTATGTATAGGTCGAGGTTTGTAACACTTTTCCATTCATAGAACGAGGTCAGTAACAGATTTACAGATTCGTCACATGACATCGTTCCTCCATTCAGGACTGGAAATTAGACCACTCATTTACGATTTTTTGACTGGGTTGTGAAGAGCTCTCAGCCAACCAAATTCTGTTTAAATATCAGCTATATAATAAATTAGTATATATACGCATTTATGAACAGAATGTACGTTACCTGCTCATCATACACTTTCAGACAGGGTTGTGTAGGAAATTGTACAGTTTCGTATGACGCAGACGGCTGTATGGTTATGTTCATACTCTTTGGTATGGTTAGTTTCCCATCGGAGTCTTCTATTATGTATTCCCCGTCTTCACGTACCTCAGGAAGCGGTTCACTCACAGCAATACTGCTTATAGTCACATTGAGTTCCTTACTTAAGTCCTTTCCTCCCTGCACTTCATTGATAAACTTTGATGATATGTTCAACAAGGATTCCGTTGTCAATGTTTCGTTTTCTGTAGCGTTCCCATCTTCAAATAGTAATGTGATAGTTAGCAATAATGTTGACTTTATCTTCACCAGTTTAAAACGTAAATGTACATACTTTAGCGGTATACCAGGTTAAGCGTTTTTCACGCCATACTTATAGCGCCACATTATGATTGTGCTGATCTAGGTTTCAGTGTATTGATTTTTTCTGACAAATTTTGTATTACGGATACATACCGGATCGAATTTTTTTTTATAATTTAAATTTATGAGTTTTAAAATATCATATATTGTATAAATATTTAAACAGATATACAAAAAAGTTAAACAAAACAAAAAAAATATTAAATAATGAAGAAATGATTACAAATCAAGTAAACCCCAATGGTCAATACCTGTTTTTGGGGGATCACTGATTTCAAATTGAATCTCCATATCCTCAGCTACATCTCTTCGTCTTCTTCTTCCAGACTCCCTCACAACATTAACTACCCTGATTTTCTCCGGCGGTACATCGAAAAACAAAGCTAAATTATGTATTAATGCTTCCCCGTAGAACTCCTCTGCTGTCAATGCTGGTATTTGAAATGAGACGATAAACGACGGATTTGTTACTATTTTGACTGGACTGCTGCCTCTAACTAACACATACAAGATATTTGAGTCCCTGTCGAAGAAATTAGTTCCGGTGACATCACTGGAGTCTGTAGCCGGAACGAATTCACCTGGAGATGAAGGCGGATCGACTACATATTTACCATTAACCATTCTAGCGTTCTTTGCTAGAACTAGTTCGTCATTCACATACACATCTCGACGGTTGGATTGAGAGTACCATATACCTAAGGTAACGACCTGGTTATCGTTGGAGTTCAATAGGAAGAATCGCAACGTCTGTGGGCTTGTAGTTGTAAAATGAAGTAGGTAATGCTTCCCTGTTAAACAGACATTTGCCTTTTGATTAAATTATAAACATATTCTACATTCTTGCACAAGTTAAAAGATGGCCTGTAGTATACACTGAAAACAAAATTCACACTATTTACTTTTTGCAATATGATCACTTCATGTAAATATATTCAAAAACCAATCAGCGTCACCGTCTCAAGTATCAGAAACTATAAAGTACAGGATAAGACAGAGTAATGAAGTGATTATCTAAGATAACTAAATTTCTAAGAATAGCAATTCATTGCTACAGCTAAGCTTCAGAAGTGAAGTTTTTCTTTCTCCACAACATGTTATATTTAATAGGCGATAGGACTTTGGTCATAAGCGCAACATCAACAATTGCCGTATATCCTACCCTAATAGTCCCTGCAGGTAGGGCGTAAGATTTGTACCTGCTGCCCCAATTGTATGATCGTAAAAGGCGACTTAATTTGGGATCTTATGTTTTCTTCTTTATAATATCTCCCTTTACAATGCCTCACTTTTGGCCTTTGGTTGAGCGTTCGCCCCTGTGAGGAAGGCTTTGGGTTCTGTCCCCTGGCCGAGACCATACCAGAGTCTGTAAAAATGGTATCATCTTGCACTCAGAGGAGGCCGCCCTTAAATGACCATAGCTGTTGATAGGACGTTAAACAGTACTAAACCCAACCAAATCCTCCCTTAATAATGAAGGGAGAAATACTCATTTTTTTTAAATTTCTTCAGGTTGTACGATTTATTTTAACATTTTGATTACAATATCAAGAGATTGTAGAACCGAACAGTGAAGGTAAATAATATATCATCAGACGGTTTGGTAATACTCTAATGCTTGCAAATAATAGAACATTGTTTCACGTAAAGTAGATAATTAACCTTTGTTATACTTGTCCCGCACCGGTTGGACTAGGTGTATACTGGTAATATTGTACCAAGGCGTATAACAGAAGACATCGTGTTGCTGAATGTTTAAATACTGCATGAATAGCTAGGTAAAAACAATCAGATATTGTGTTGTTCCAAATAAGTATTCCAACCATGCCATATATGGAATTGTACACACAAATGCAGTAGCATGAATATATACACTGTGTAATTATATGACAAATTATTCACTTTGTTGATATGTTGGAGTATTGTTCACTCTCTGGTGAGTATGTTGTGAACAGAAACGCTTTATTACATGTTTCGTTTTCATAGAATCATTGACTCTACGTTTTAATGTATGTACACTTCTACAATACACAATAAATGATGTAACCATACTCACCTGTAGCTACAATAGCCATGAACGTAGAAAGACGTTTACGACAGTTGCCTATCCTACAGGCACTGTGGTCCTGGGGTCCATTTATTAGATCCAGATACCCGTCACCAAGAACGGCGACAGGTGACAGCCGCCGGGTCTCCGTGTCCGCGTCCAGACTCTCTATTATCAGCATTTTGTAGTCGAGGTCGTGACACTCGTACGCTTGCCAAGCCGCTCGGTAAATACACTGATCAGTTCGTATTATTCCTTTAATAAAATTAATTTGTATTACATAACTATAATTTAAAAAATACAATTGTACTTTCTCAATCGGTCTTAGTTGTGACTGAATCAGTAATTACCTAATGACCCTTGGTATTGATTTCATTTTCTTAGAAAGGTTAGGGTTTTGATATTAAAATATAAAAATGATAAATATAAATTATTTAAGAAAATAGCCATTATAATTTCTATTAAGCCAATGTCGTGGTAAATTTCTAAGACATTTACACACAACTTGTCCAAAAATAAATAATTGTCCCAAATGTAGGTGTGCGTGGCTTGGTTACCGAGACTCAATTTTAGTAAATCAGCATAATTGGCGTCGCATTATTAGCTTGCATCAATTGAATGACGAATTTAAGACAAATACATGCGAATCATTGATTCGGACTCAAACTTCGGCATCATACCTTTGTGTGGCGCGATGCTACTAACGTTGATACGTTCTCCTGTTAGGGTGGTCAGCATCTCCAACGGTATCCTGTAGTCCCCCAATCCCCTATTCGGATCACCATTCCATTCCCATTCTGACTGAGATAGGACAGAGCGTATTGTGCCTAAGAACGTGCCATCTTCGTCCCTTATTAACGCTTTCTTTAGTCCATCGCAGTCCATATCAACACAGTCTCTCGGATTTATTTTCCTGATTATAAATGAAATGATGCTCGTTGTAGAATATAATTTACTGTACAAGCTTTTATTGAGTTTTCACATGAAAAACGTACAGTATCAGTTGTGAGGACGATACACTGACCACAATAACTCAACAATCAACTCTAACGTTCACAAAGCAACACTAGTCTTTAGTATTATACCTATAGTAAAAATCCTGTAATCTGAATATATCTTTAATATTAATATTTTATATTTTCATTGCAAGTTCCTATATGAGCATTAATATAAGAAATTGCGTTCCTACGACTATGAACGCAATTGGATCAGCGACATTTTGAAGTTTCTCCTACCGCCTCGAAAAACATTAGATGGCATTACACTGTTCCATGATTCTCGTTTGCACCGACGAAATAAATACTTCAATATCGAAAATATAAGGTTATGTCTGAATTTAGGTAAATAATAAATTAAAATTTCGATAAGGATTGAACGGAATGTTTAAATGTTCATGCCGGTATGAAGTTGAAAATATGCCGTTTAATCCTTATATTTAAATACAGACATTAGTCTAACGGACCCTGCTACGCAAAATATTTTTAATCTATGAGCAAGATATCAGAAACTGCCGTTGTCAGTTGACGTAAAAATACCGTTAAAACGATGGATCTGTACAAAATGTTTCACTTTTTACATAACGTTTTGGGTAGTGTGAACTAACGTACTCGATGTTCAGTCGATGAATAAAGAAGTATCATGTCTAAATTCTTTGCGCATTGATTACATTTAAAAAAAAATAATAATAAAACAATCTTTAAACAGCAAGTACTAGTAAATGAAATTAACAGATTCTGTTCGTCTTTAAGCACATCGCAAGACATATGTCGAATATGAAAATTATACTGGAAGGTCAGCCGGAAAATATCTCCACATTGATCATAATGTCTCGCAAACCTTAACAATTATGATGTAATGATAAAAAATTTGATAAAACTTACTCGATGTTCGGTCGATGAATAAAGAAGGAGCTATCGTTTTCCGAGTCATACTTGGTGATTTCTTTAGTCACAACAGGGTGTTGTCCGTCATCGTTAGCTTTGTTTGTAGTCAACATGACGTCCTTAGTACCGCATACCGTCTTAAAATGGGCAAACGTTACACCTAAAAAGTAAATTGTAATCGTGATTTATTAATATCTATAATTATCAATCCTGTGTACGTTAGTCCAGCACTTGAGTATATTTGAGAATTGAGTTGCTCTACTAAGTACAAAAAAACCGAGCGATGAACAAGTATTTGATTGATTAAAGAGGCAGTACTTGTGGTAATAGTTACGAGAAAAACGAAGTATAAACGCTCCTGTTGAAACAAATATTTAGTGGATGTTGTACAGATTTTCCAATTCAAGTTGTTTTGATTTTTAAAGTTATTTTTATGTAGATTTCCTCGAAATGAAAAGCATTTTAAGTTGCAGCTGGAATAATGGAATTAATGCATTACTTAAGTACTCACCCTCAACGTTCATAATTCCCATGCTTGCAGGGTAGCTCCTTATTCCAGTCAGGTCGTAAAATGGAGCGCTGTTACTTCCTTGCATGAAAGAAGCAAACACCAAACCGACATGACCTCCAGTTATCTGACTACTTATTCCCGTAGATTTAGCCTGGTCGGTGGTGCAGTTATATGATGAGGTCGTTCCGATGATGATGCTGTCCTTTACGGTACATTGTTTCGCCGCATACAAATGAGCAGCAGCACTTGGTCCTATTATTTGGTTGTAAATTCCCAGAGTATTTTCTGCCATTGTATTATTAATCAAAACTACAGACAGTCTGTTGTTGTAATATATTGCAATGTCATAACATTTCCAGATGAAGTAGTTTGATACTTGGTAACAAGAGCCTTGGACGTTATCCACTGGAAAAACGGCCAAGCCTATAGATGAACTGTGGGCTTCATTTCCAGATGGACCGGATGTTAGTCCACATTCTACGCCAGGAACATGAAAAGCTACACCATTAGTACCGCTGACCGAGTTATCTGTTAGTGTCAATTCTTTGGAGCCCATTCCACTTATAGCTCCAAAACGGGAACTGCTGCCACTCATAAGTACGACTAGGTTACGATGAATTGTCGTCCTGAAGGATTGCGTTTCGATCGCTGAAATTTTAATTGTATTTCTATATAAACATGGATCGTAATTACATTGGCATAGATAACAAATATATGATACAGGTTTTCAAATATAAATGAAAAGTTAAGTAGATAGTATTTATATATAATACTAATATGTCGACACACCAAACGTTAAACATTTTTGCATTCGCATTTACCACTTAGGCCATTATGTAAAGAACCCGACACGGCAGTCGCTATCTTCACAGATGTTATAAATTTGTCATGTATTGATGGATACATTTCTGTGTTGGTGGATAAAACAAACTTAACTTATTATACGCTAACAGTTCAATGTACTGTTATACTTAAGTCCATAATGAAGCATCAGTTAGTGTTTATTGTTTCGAAGCCATGAATATTGCCTAGAATAGATTTACCAGGGAATATATGTTCACTAGTTGTTGGCGTTTTAAATTTGCTGTTAGTACTCTCAACTATCTGCTATTTTAAACAATTTTAAAAATGAAAAAAAAAAGTTATTTACCTAGTAGAACAGAGTGA